CCTCGTTTTTGACGAACAGAAAACCTACCATAAATCATTTTTTTCATCTGAACTGTAAGGAATGCTGAATAAATCACTGAGACAGCGGTGTACCTCACGATACAACTGAGGTGATTCGAGAACTGTAGCAAAAATACTCCGTGTCGAATCAGATCGAGAGGAAACAGTCGGTAGACGGGAGTAACTAGATAAACCTATTCGTCGGTTCAATTTTTTATTATTTTCACACGCGTCTCACTCAGGTCAGGCCGTGTGCAAAACAAATCACGGTACAATAAAATTTCTCGAAAATCAACCGTCTGTTCTATGAAATCGGCAACACTGACACGAAATGCCTATTTTTGTCAGCCATCAATTTAGTTTTCTAGCCCCCAGGACTTGCTGAACTCATACATGATTATTGTCTGAATTAAGCATACTCACTAAAATTCCCGTCACCCTAGTTCCACCTTACACACACACACACACACACACACACACACACACACACACACACACACGAGGATGAAAAGTTTTGACTATCTGGGAAGTTGAGTTTTAAGAAATGGAGACAGAGAGAAATGTTCTATTGAGGGATCAGAGTTGCCAAGTGAAAGAAGTGCACGAGTTTACTGCAGATGCAACGATTCTGTTGTCACCGAGGAAGTGAACAGTTTGTTCGAAACTTGCGATGTGCAAATAGAAAGAACAGATGGAGGATAAAAAAAGTACCAAACGAGTAAAATGTCTAGTAAGGATGATATCATTAACTAAGAGAGGGTATTTTTTACAATTCAAATTGATCTCGTTTGTTAAACTTTTACGCCTAAATCTGGATTTCGGTTAGTTCATGCTGTAAATTCCCTCATTTGTGCACCAAACTGAAAGATCTCTATGCCAAAGAAATACTTTACTTTTATGCGAATACCTCATGCGAACCGATGAGTCCGTTTTACTTAGGTCTAACGATGCTTGCCCAGGAGCGGTGAGCATAGAACCGGAATCGGAAGCCGTACAGAACTTTCAGAATCAGGTGATCCGTGTCTTCTTCAATTGTGGTAATCCAGGTCTTTCACTGGCCACTGACATGATAGCGCCCCATCCCGAAACACGGCTTTGACAACAGAACCCTTTTCGATCTCTACTACGAAACACCGGAGAACGAGAACGAACCACTAGAGATGACGACAACAGTGCAGCAGTGTGGAAAGCTTTGTTGACGGAACAGCGGCACTAGCGAAATTCCTCGTTAGATAAGCAGTCAAGCCACTCTGTTTCCAGTATGCAGCACAGAAACCACAACCTCGAGCCATCATGGGTCTTCGGCTATATAAAAGGGCCAGTCACCTAAATTCCCCGCGAGTCTCTCACATGTCACGTTGTCCCAGTATCAGTTCAAGATGTCCTCGGATTATTTCAAGCTGTCGCGTTGACCTCACCGGCGCTGATAAGCCTCCCAGCGATGTCTGGATGACTACCATGCAGCACCGATTTCTCTACCTCCTGTTGAAGTGCGGCGGACGATTGTGAGACGAGATTCGGTCACACACGCCTCAATTCTCATGGCATACACATCGGTTGTTTATCTTGCTAGTACGCGCATGCCTCTGTGTGTGTCCCCCCGCTGATACCAGTGAATCATGCGCGATCAACGCTTGAGCCATTAATTGCCGCTATCACTCGATGCTGCAATAGAATTCATAGAATTCACCTCAAGCGGATACACTGGGACACCAATAGATCATGCTCGATCGATATACACATCAGTATTGACCAGATTCACATCCGGTTTGTTCGACACTTTTAGGTCATAATCCATCTCTGTAACACCACCGCAGAAGCACCTTCAAGCATTGAACAATCAAAATGACCATTTTGGCCATATTTTCGGAATGGAATGAGATACCTCTATCAAATCGAATGCAACAGAAATAACGTAACGAGGGCTGTCGAAAGATGCCATAATTTTCATAAGAGTTACGAAATTTTATAAGAAAATGCAAGTTTAAAAATTGGAATGTTTCCCAAATGCACATTTCTGAGTATAGACTCTGAATTCGATAATCTTTATTGCTGAAATTATATAGTATTACTTAAACACCTCCATCACACAAATTAAACCGGGTGAATTTAGGTTAACGTATGACATTCACAAGTAGTAAGTGCAAACTGTGTTCGAACATTTTTATTCGGCTTTTCGTTATCCGATTATCGTGACTCGATATCGTGTTGTCTGCTGAACATTCTGCACACAGACATTCATTTAACTTTAGCGTAGGCCTTGAATTATTCTATTGACTAATCGAACTATATACGTAAATGCCTGAAGCAATATATCGAAAATAAATGTCTTCACACTTTGACTTTGTTCTTATGCATCGCTGGGATTATTTTACGATTCTTTTTGACATATCGCTTCAGGCATTTACATACTTAAGTTGTTATCCGATCATATTTGCAAGAATCACGGTCGCTGAGCGCCCATATACGGGAAAACCACAAGACTGGTTGAGCATAATACAAGATTCTCAACAGCCTTTGCTTAAAAAGATATTTTGGTAGTGTACGATTTTCGGAAGACGAATTTCACTCGTACTAGACTAGATCCGTGTTTTCTCTCGCTAAGGGACTTTACACGCATCCTCCTTTCTGCGATGCGATTGTTCCAGAGGAGCTGAACAAAAAGATCACATCAATTATAACGCAGTATATATGGGCAGCCCTAAACGAAATATAATTTGAGACAAAAATTAGATAGGTTCGGTTTAGAAAATGCTCGAATAATTGTCATGGCAACCGTGTCTCTGAGTTTCGTACGATTTTTAGAGCAGGGTTTTTCCGCCTTAGTTGCACCGAAAAATTTCTTCCCCCGTTTCGGATCCGCGAGCCTAGGTAATATCATGTCAGGTGCATAGGTTGTTTCATCCTTTGTTTACCGATGTGTGATATTCATCAACTGACACTGTGCCTCCATCGTTTCCCCTGGATTGACTGCAAGAACCCTAAAATACTGCGTTGTGGTTCAGCTATGATAACTGAAAGGTGTTCTGACCTCCTAAAACTTACTAACTTATCGAACATTTTCACAATTTCTGATTGGTTGTGCCTTCGGTAATTATTGTTCTGAGTGACCACGGTGGTGTTCCCATCGCGAACCTGAATCGAGAAATGCGACAATGACAATGAGGTTGCTTGAGGACAGTTTACACTTACTACTTGTGAATGTCATACGTTAACCTAAATTCACCCGGTTTAATTTGTGTGATGGAGGTGTTTAAGTAATACTATATAATTTCAGCAATAAAGATTATCGAATTCAGAGTCTATACTCAGAAATGTGCATTTGGGAAACATTCCAATTTTTAAACTTGCATTTTCTTATAAAATTTCGTAACTCTTATGAAAATTATGGCATCTTTCGACAGCCCTCGTTACGTTATTTCTGTTGCATTCGATTTGATAGAGGTATCTCATTCCATTCCGAAAATATGGCCA